GCTATGAGTGCTGGATAGGTTTGTCCCACTGAGGCAAGGAGGGGATGGTAAGGTGAAGGAACCTTGGATGACAAGACATGTGGAACATCTAGTCAAGAGGAAGAAGGAAGCTTACTTAAGGTTGAGGAAGCAAGGATCGGACAGGGCTCTAGAGGGTTACAAGGTAGCCAGGAAGAAACTGAAGAATGGACTTTTCTTTTTTCCTTTTTTCTTTACTCATTCACAGGATGATGGCATTGGAGGAGAGCTAGAAGAGGGTATGAAAAATCCTTGGCAGGTAGGATTAAGGAAAACCCCAAGGCGTTCTATATTTATGTGAGGAACAAGAGGATAGCCAGAGTGAGGGTAGGGCCAATCAGGGATAGTGGAGGGAACTTGTGCATGGAGTCAAAGGAAGTAGGGGAGGTCCTTAATTAATACTTTGCTTCAATATTCACCAGCGACAGGGACCTTGATGTTTATGAGGACAGCGTGAAACAGGCTGATATGCTCGAACAGTTGATGTTAGGAAGGAGGATGTGCTAGAAACTTTGAAAAACATGAGGATAGATAAGTCTGCTGGGCCAGACGGTATATACCCAAGATTCATTACGGGAAGTGAGGGAAGAGATTGCTGCACCTCTGGTGATGATCTTTGCATCCTCACTGTCCACTGGAGTAGTACCAGATGGTTGGAGGGTGGCAAATGTTATTCCTTTGTTAAAGAAAGGGAATAGGGATAATCATGGGAATTACAGACCAGTCAGTCTTACTTCTGTGGTGGGCAAATTATTGGAGAGGATTCTGAGAGATAGTATTTATGACTATTTGGAAAAGACAGTTTGCTAAGAAATAGTCAGCATGGCTTTGTGAGGGACAGGTCATGCCTCACAAGCCTTATTGAACTTTTTGAGGATGTGACAAAACACATTGAGGAAGGTAGAGCAGTGGATGCAGTGTATATGGATTTTAGCAAGGAATTTGATAAAGTTCCCCATGGTAGGCTCATTCAGAAAGTAAGGAGGCATGGAATTCAGGGAAATTTGGCTGTCTGGATACAAAACTGGCTGTCCAATAGAAGTCAGAGGGTGGTAGTAGATGAAAAGTATTCAGCCTGGAGCTCGGTGACCAGTGGTGTTCCGCAGGGATCTATTCTGGGAACCTCTGCTCTTTGTGATCTTTATAATTGACTTGGATGAGGAAGTGGAAGGGTGGGTTAGTAAGTTTGCCAATGACATGAAGGTTGGTGGAGTTGTGGATAGTGTGGAGGGCTGCTGTAGGTTGCGATGGGACATTGACAGGATGCAGAGCTGGGCAAAGAAGTGGCAGATGGAATTCAACCCAGAAAAGTGTGAAGTGATTCATTTTGGAAGGTTGAATTTGAAAGCAGAATACAGGGTTAATGGCAGGATTCTTGGCAGTGTGGAGGAGCAGAGGGATCTTGGGGTCCACGTCCATAGATCCCTCAAAGTTGCCACCCAAGTTGATAGGGTTGTAAAGAAGGCGTATGGTGTGTTGGCTTTCATTGGCAGGGGAATTGAGTACAAGACCCATGAGGTTATGCTGCAGCTCTATAAAACACCGGTTAGACCACACTTGGAATATTGTGTTCAGTTCTGGTTGCCTCATTATAGGAAGGATGTGGAAGCTTTAGAGAGGGTGCAGAGATTTACCAGGATGCTGCCTGGACTGGAGGCCAGGTCTTATGAGGAAAGGTTGAGAGAGCTAGGGCTTTTCTCATTGCAGTGAAGGAGGACGGGAGGTGACTTGATAGAGGTGTACAAGATGTTGAAAGGCATAGATAGAGTGGATAGCCACAGACTTTTTCCCAGGGTGGAAATGACTATTATGGGGGGGCATAAATTTTAGGTGACTGGAAGAAGGTATAGGGGAGATGTCAGAGTTAGGTTCTTTACACAGAGAGTGGTGGGTGCATGGAATGCACTCCAGCAGTGGTAGTGGAGTCAGATACAGTAGGGACATTTAAGCAACTCTTGGATAGGCACATGGACGTTGGTAAAATGCAGGCTATGCATGGTAGTTTGATCCTAGAGTAGGATAATAGGTCGGCACAACATCGTGGGCCAAAGGGCCTGTAATGTACTGTACTATTCTATGTTCTTCCTTCACAAAAATGTATCTATTTCAGACTTAAAATTAACAACCGATTAAGCATCAACTGATGTTCTTGTGCAAGAAAATTCCAATCCTCCACCATTCTTTGTGTGCAGAAGTGCTTCCTAACATCTCTCCTGAGTAGTCTGGCTCTGATTTTTAGACAAAGCCCCCCAGAATCCTCAACCATTAATGGAACCTTATCAGAATCTTTGGAAAAAAGGAGAATTAATACCAATGCATCTACTACTTCATTAGCCATCTCCTTTAGGACCATAGGATGAAGTACATCAGGACCAAGAGATTTATCAACCCACAACTCCATCAAGCTGTTCAATGATTATCATTTTACCAAGTTCCTTGTTTTCTTCAACCTCTTGATTTACAAGTGTTAATGAGATGTTTTCTGTATCCTCTACGGTGAAGACAGAAGCAAAAATAATTATTCTTACATCTGCCATTTATTTATTATTTACTCTTAACTCCCAAGTTCACTCTCTCCGCTTGGAATTTTCTTTTTACTAGGAAGGTACTTAATCTGAAATATCTATCACTACTTCTCTACTGATCTATCCCCTAACCTAGTATCCCAGTTCAATTCTGCTAGCTCACATGGTCGCCCTCATTTAAGTTCAAAATACTAGCCTTAGACCCACTTTTCTCCCTTCCAAATTGGATGTAAAATTCTATCACATACTGGTCACTGCTGCCTTTATTCTGACGTCATTTGTTAATCTTGTTACATTACACAATACAAGCCTATTACAGCACGCTGTCTTGTTCCAGAGCAGGCTGAGATATTTATATATACTAGTCAGCTATAATCAATGTTTGTTGGATTTTTCAATACGTTGACCCATGCTCTATTTTCTTGCATCAAGGAGATAAAATAAGCATTGTCATGTCATGTCATATATCATGTGATATGGGTCACTCCCCATTCAGTACACACATCTTGAAACTGTCAGTGTACTGTCTTCATTGTTGGATACCTTCCTTTCTAAGGAGCTAAATAAATTGAAAATAACACTCATCCCGTCTGCAACAGTCACATTTACGTGCTAAGTCATTGAACATTAGAAAGTTTAGAGAAGTAATTCATCACAAGGATATAATCTGCTTTGCGTACTGTGAATAGGTTGGCTGCTATTTTTGTCCAAGGAGCAGATGGGCAATTGTGTGGATGTAGAAGCTCCCTCAGCTACTGGAGTTGATGAGTTTGACATGCTTCACATGAATTCATCCGGGGCCAGTACACATCTTGTGTACTCAATAGCCACATGTTGCACATGCAGAATATTTTGGCACAGTGCTTTAGGGACTTGTTCAGCCTTGAAGATGACTTCTTGCATATGGCAATTTCCTTTCAGGATAATCTAAATGAACAAACTTCCCAGGTACTTAGTCAATACTGTCAGGTGATCCCTGGATATAACATTTTGCAACTCTTGTAGTTGCTCATCTTCAGCAATTGTTACACTGGCTCTAGACAAAGTTTAGCAGATCAACCTAGAGCTTTAACTTTGTAAGCAAGAGCATCAATGTGTAGCTCAAGAGGAATATGTGTGTTGTTGGGTAGGTTGGATCATTTGCTCAGTGTGTCAAACATAATCATCCTAGTTCTTATCTTGTATCTCACTTCTAAGTAATACCCTTGGAAATCAATGGCTGATTTAACTGTTACATGTGGTCTGTTCCACCATGTTTTTGTGGCTTGAATCTCATGAATTGTGACTATGCCAATGTCTGTGGATACTGGAATGCTGCCACTGCTGGATCACTGATACCTATCAGGTAGAAGATCACAGGAAGCCAAAATGAGCTTATGTATTGGCAACACAGTATGATTCTGCCAATGCATGATTGGTAATCCATTATACACAGTGTATTACAGAGTATCAGCTGCTGAGGTATGTCTTTCAGGATGCATAATGGTGATCTATGTTCCTCTCAAATTGTTCTTTCATTGTGCGGAACTCCAAGGTCTGTGCAAGGAATAGCTTCTAAAATTGGAACTCAATGTGCTTGTATTGCATGTACAAAACATTTGAGCATCTGTGTGGCTACACCGCTTAGAAAGAACATGGTAGACATGTTGGCATTATTTGTATTTTAATTTTAGCTTTTAGAATCATTCTGCTTTTTCAGGACATACATTATGGATACAAAAGTTTCTGATCACCTTATATTGTCCACATGTGAGATTAACAATAAGGAAAGTTTAATCATTTATGCAATCAGCATAATCTTCCACGAGGTTGGAGCTAATTCGTATGCATTTGTGTTGGTTTTCCTTCTAAACACTTTCCTTGCAGCCAGTGTATTGGTGCATCAGCTGTTTTATTCTGGAGTCTGGTTTGGCACTTGAAACCATCTATGCTGTATCTTTGTGCCCAACGCTTTTTAGAAATCAAGGAAAGCTCAACACTGTTAGAGCAACACACTACACTAATAACATTTTTTTTTGGATTTAATGCACTTTGCTGACCATAATGTTGACTGCACCTAAAAGTATATAATTGTTGCTGGCCTGCACACTTCATATTTGTATCCATTCTGAAGTAATAAGTCAATGGCAAGGCCCTTTGTCTTCCTAAAGGCTTTAGTTATTATTGCTTCAACAACAATTCAAAACTATCCATTCTGCCAATAGCTCTATATAGAAAAGTCATACTCCTGCCCTTTGTTGCAACAGCTTCCAATAAACTGGTCACTTAACTCTTTAGGACGACTGTACATATGATGAGTTGTCACTGCAGGTTTTGTTTTCCAGAAGTAGAGTACACAGCACTGTCTTTTTTCGTTTTTATTTCTCTCTCCTTTTCTCAATGGTATCCATGATGCAGAGATACCAGTGTTGGACTGGGGTGGACAAGATCAAAAAAAAAAAATCACACGACACCAGGTTATAGTCTAACAGGTTTATTTGAAAAATGCAAACTTTCATAGCTGAGCTCCTTCCTCAGGTGTAAGAGGAGAGAGACATTCAAACACAATTTATAAGCAGAAGGGTAACAACCTCAAAACTGGCTGCCACTTGTTGAATCTTTATTCAGTTAGGAAGGAGACTCCCGATTGAAATGCAAAATCCAGATTCCTTTCAAGTCATTATCATGAGATAATTAAAGGTTTTAATCAATGTATACACAAGGTGACATCTCAGGTCAGCCAATGCATTTTAGGTGTGAGGTCTTAGAATCATAGAATCCCTACAGTGTAGAAATAGGCCCTTTGGCCCAACAAGCCCACACCGATCCTCAGAATCCCACCCAGACCCATCCCCCTATAACCCACCTAATCTACACATCCCTGAACACTACAGGCAATTTAGCATGGCCAATCCACCTAACCTGCACATCTTTGGACTGTGGGAGGAAACTGGAGCACCCGGAGGAAACCCATGCAGACACAGGGAGAATGTGCAAACTCCACACAGACAGTTGCCCGAGGCTGGAATCAAACCCAGGTCGCTGACGCTGTGAGGCAGCAGTGCTAACCACTGAGCCATCATGCCACCCCATCTTGCTTAGAATCTATGTTTTGATGTAATATAACTGACATAATCTAATGAATTATTTCATCCAAGATGTGTGTAGTTGCAGACTACATTTTGCTCAAAAAGAAAAAACCTGACCCCAGTTTAAAAACAGACAGATTCTGAGCATGACCTCACACCTTTTCCCCTTTTTGTTTCTTTAGCAGCCTTAGTCTCTTTAAAACAGTTACTTTAAAAGCTATAAGCACTTTGTAACAGGAGTTGCAAGCCTGTAGCTGTGGATTTCTACTTCTATGCAGCATTCATGGAACAATGACAATGTAGGCTTCCAGCTAATTTTGCACCATTTGGGAAATGAAAATGGTGGAATCAACTAATTTCTGGACACTAAGCCTGTTAATAAAGAAAACCCCATTTTTGACATGTTTTAATGTTGCATTTACTTCTAAAATACTTGGGAGCTGTGGATATTTTAATTACTTTTTAAAAAAATTTTAAAAATGCCAACAGCATCCTGTTCTAAAGAGAGAAAGGTGGACGACTCGCTGTACTTTATACAGGTCTGTAACCTTTAATTTTGATTGTATTTGTAACTTCAGCCTTTTAATGAAAGGCACTCATCTTGAGGGTACTTACATTTTAATTTAATAAAAACATTCACAGTCTATCTACACAGCTGTATAGCAGATAAGAGTGAAATTAAAAGTAAGGTAGTCTCACCAATCTTGGCAATGAGGGAGGCACATTGAAGGAAAATAGCACAGTCAATCATTTCAAAGTCTTAAAGTTTTTGACTTTGGCCATTTTGTAGTGTGGTAGGTAAAGGAACCGGATTGGAGAGTTTTCAGCAGGGAGGTGTGGGAGGTTTAAGGTCTGACAGCTTAAAACAGAAGTAGTTGAGTAGACAGTATCACGAGACCCTTAGTTGCAACTTGGTGCAAAAAAAGTGTAGAAATTGCAGAGATCCAACTTCTCATTCCTTAGAAAAGTGAAAAAGATCAAGTAAGACTAAATATAAACAGATGGCGAATCATATTGAATGTTATACATTTTAGCATAGTTGCTAAATCATACAAGTAATCAAACGAGACAAGTCAGCAGAGCTTAATGAAGGGCAAATTACATAGAATTCTACTAACTTATTTGAGGTGGTAAGAAGCAGGAAAGATAAAGGGAAGCAGTAGACAATACATTTGATGATTTTGAGAAGGTTTTTGTTAAGTGGCCTAATACATGGTACCTTAAGATGATTCCATGGTGTGAAGGTAGTATGTTAGCATAGAGGATTAGTTAACCAATAGAAATCAGAAAATTGGGGTAAGGGGAACCTTTTCAGGATGACCACCTGTATTAGTGAAGTGCCATTAGTGATGGGCCCACAATTTACAATATATTAATGACTTTGTGAGGAAGGTGAATGTACTATCGCCAAGTTTTCTGACTCCACAAAAATGAGTGGGAAGGCAAGTGGTGAGGATAGCATAAAGTTTGCAGAGAGATACAGAGATTAAGCCAGTGGGCAAAAACATGGCAGGTGGCATGTGAAACAAGTGACGTTATGCACTTTGGCAAGAAGAATTGGTGATGAGCTGAATATTATTTAATTAGCGAAAGACTGTAGAAAACCACAACACAGAATTTGGGAGTCCTCATAAATCACAAGAATACAGCAGACAAGTTCAGCAAATAATAGGGAATGGATATATATGATGAGGACACCGAACAGTTATGGGCCCCTATTGAAGAAAAGATGTACTGGCATTAGAGGCAGTCCAGAGATAAGTAATAACGAGTATGGAGGGTCTGTCCTACAAAAGGAGAGGTTGAACAGGTTGGGCTTGTACTCATTGGAGTGGAGATGAGAGCTTACCTTATTGAAACATACAAGATTCATACAGGACTTGTCAGGGTAGATGCAGAAAGTTTGTTTCCTTCCTTTCTTCCCCCCCGCCATTTGTTCATGGGATGTGGGTGTTGCTGGCTAGGCTGTCGTTTATTGCCTATCCCAAATTGCTCAGAAGGCTGGGAAAAGTCAAGCACATTGCTATAGGTCTGGAGTCACACACAGGCCAGATCAAGGAAAGATAGTCCTTCCCTAAAAGGCATTAGTGAAGGAAAGGGTTTTTCCAGCAAAGCACAATGGCTTTATGGTCATCATTAGACTCAACTTCATATTCTTATTGAATGTAAGTTTCACCATCGCCCACAGTGGGATTCAAACCCAGGTCCCCAGAGCATTAGACTATCATTACCTAGTTGCTAGATTAATATTACTAGACCAACACCTGCCTCTTGTGGCATAGACTAGGGCCAGGGGCATAAACTCAAACAGTTGACTAAGTTAATATCTATTTTTGTCCAACAAGATCAAAAAATAAACTTCCCCAATGCAGGATTAACAGATGTTTTCATCCTTTTTACATTGGCAAAAGTGAGCATTCTTGCTGCCACTGCATTACAACTTGAAAGTTGTCACTTTAAGTCTATGTGATGACGTGCATGTCTTTCTTCCGCGCTACTGAAGCTTCTGTCATGCCATTACCTGTATGGAAAACAGAATCCTCAACAGCCACAAGTTAAAAGTTACATTTTACAAGTTACTGCAAGTTAAGATGGCCTCCACGAATTAAAACCAATCAACCAACAAAAATGTGTTATTTCTTGAGAAATCAAAGGTCAACTTTACTTCACTGTAGATTAGGCCAGTGGTAAGTGAGGACAACATCTTCATTATAAAAAAATGTTGATTTACTTTTTCGTACTCAAATGGTTTCTTGTTGGCCAAGACCTTAGTTGGAGGAAAAATTCCAATTGTTGATCAAATTATCACAATGTCTTATTTAGGCCATGACCCAGCATTTGTCACAAAGGCTTTATGCTAAGAGATACAACAAATTCAAAATAAATTTCCATTCCAAAAGTCCAGAGGGGGCAGCACTGTATCAGATAAATATTCAAGTAAAAACGTAATACTTTGCAAGAAATAATTCTCTTCCTTTCTTTGCTGTAACCTATTCCATCACCAAGTTCAGAAATTATTCTGAGCAGATCAACTATAAGAACCACAGCTGCAAGTTCTTTTCCCCTACAAGACCTTTATTGCAATCAAAGTAACAACTCAACTGAAAAACATTAGTTCTTCACCAAAACTGATAGAGTTAAGCTCCATTCTTATAGTGTCCGTTTTGTCTGTTTCTATTGTATTATAGCGAAGGCAAGTTGCATTAGTTAGATATCATTTTAAAAATATCAACCGCTGGAGCTAGGAAGTGTGAAATAAAATAACCTTTTAAACAGAGTCAGAGTTATACAGCACAGGAACAGACCCCAAAACGAAGTTTTGGTACCATTTAGTACAGAAACAGACCCTTCGGTCTAACCAATCCATGCTGACAATAATCCCAATCTAAACTAGCCCCATTTGACTCATATTCCTCCAAACATTTCCAATTCATGTACTTATTGAAATGTCTTTTAAACATTGGTAGATGTGGCTACAGTTAAACTTACTCTGGGAGCTCATTCCACACACGAACCATTAAAAAAATTGCCTATCTTCTCATGTTGAAAATATGCCCCCTCGTCTCAAAATCCCCCACCCGAGGGAAGTGACACTTGCCATTCACCTTATCTATACCCTTCATTATTTTATGGACTTCTAGAATGTCACCTCTCAACCTATGTTCCAGCAAAAGAAGCCCCAGCTTATCCAGCCTTTCCTTGTAACTGAGGCCCTCCATTCCCAGCAACATCGTAGTGAATCTTTTCTGATCACTCTCCAGCTTAACATCCTTCCTATAAACAGGGTGACCAAAACTGCACACAGCACTTCAGAAGAGGCCTCACCAACATCCTGTACAATCTCAATATAACATCTCTACTCCTATATTGAAGGTCTGAACAATGAAGGCAAGCATGCTAAATGCCTCTTTTTCTACACGTAATGCAAAATTCAAAATTATGCACCTGAATCCTGAGGTCTCTGTCCTACAACACTGCCCAAGGCACTACTTTTAATTGTGGAAGTTTTGTCTTTATTTTATGAAAATGCAATACTTTGCATTTATCCAACTTAAAATCCATTTGCCACACTTCAACCCATTGACTCACATTTCTAATCTTAGGCAACCTTCTTCACTGTCCACTATACCACCAATCTTGTGTCATCTGCAATCTTACTAACATGCCTTCTATATTCTCATGCAAGTCATTTTATATAATGACAAAAGTGGACCCAGCACTTGTGGAGCACCGCTGGTCAGAGGTGTCCAGACCAAAAAACAAGCCAGAGCGATGCCAGAAGATTAACAATAGGAGACAAATTTTGTATCCAATGGCAAGCTCACCCCAAAGAATCCCATGTGATCTAACTTTACTAATTAGCCTACCATGTGGAACCTTGTCAAAGTCTTTACTAAAGTCCAAGTGAAGAACAGCTACTGCTTTGTCCTTGTCAGTGTTCTTGGTTACTTCCTCAAAAAAAAAAAAAAAAAAAAAAAAAAAAAAAAAATCAAATCAAGTTTGAGACAACTTCCCCACATACAAAACCACGCTGACTATCCCTAATCATTCCTTGTCTCTCCAAATGCAAATAAAATCCTCTCAGAATCACTTTCAACAACTTACCACCAAAGTCAGACTCACAGGTCTATAGTTCAAGTTTTTCCTTATATCCTTTCTTAAACAAACATAATCTTAAAATTAAACATTAAAAAATTGAAAGCTTTAAAAGTCCCATACCTTTTAAATATTCAAAATTTGCTGTTGGATTAAAATCAACTCAAGTTACATATACAGAAATTTGATAATAGGTAAATAAAAGGAAACAAGAAAAGAAAGACTGCAACACTTTCTCCTCTATTTGTTCATTAGATTTTGGGTTTCCACCATCTTTCACAAACTGCATGCATAGGAAAAATGTAGAAGAAAAGGTAACTCACCTGAAATTACAGAACACAACCAGAATTACAAGAATTGACTGTGGAATTAGAAGCCTCAAATGTGGCAGTGATTTACACTTACATTATTTATTATATTACCTATTCCAAGCATTGAAAGTCCTCAATCTCCTGCTCTATGACTAGTAGATGTGTTGAAACTGTAAGTATACATTATGAGATAGCCTACAGGGTTTCCACCATTGTTACAGCAGGAACATGGAGAAGAGCCCTTGGAAAGTCTGGGTCGCTCTCTCAACTCAAGCCCTTGTTCTAATTTTGTTAATATATTATTTGTTCAAGGTGTTTTGGAATTGATGATTGTTCATGAAACCCTGAACAGCAAGCATTTGCAATAAATTTGCTTTCATCCTTAACTGTATGAGGTTTCTTAAGTAGCTAAAATTTAGGCATTTGGATGCTTGAAACCACTTCTATTAAAGTTAGGAATCAGCCTGATATTATGATTATTCAGCAGGACAAACAACTGTATGCTCTGGGACACTGGTTCCTGAACTGTTGTATCCAAAAGAGAACTCACCTGCAGACAAACACCCAGCAATGATTGTAGTTTGGAGACAGATAGCCCAGAGTTTTGCTTTATAGCTTGACGAATTAAAATAGGTTATGCAAAGAAAGTAGGGCTGGTGATGTAGCCTGTAGAATTCAACAGCACCTCTTCCAGTAATTGAGGAAAGGACAAGCTGGTGTTTCATCTGAACTTTATATTCCTCTTGATTACCAAATGGAGGTAAGCTTGGACCTGGTTTCCATAGAAGAGATGGCCAGGTAACCATAGATTACACAGAAAACTAATAACTTCCACCAAGCTCTCAACAGTTTCAGTTCATTTATTTCCAGTTATTTCACTGATGAGAGAATTTCCCAAATATAGTTTATTCTTCTTTTTTGTAAGCATCACTTTGGACCTTCATTTCTTTAACTGTATGAAGCAGCAGCAATCCACATAAAGTTATTGTGATCCCAATCCACCATAACATCTCATGAACTTCTCCAAAGAGCAATTTTCCAAGAAAAGCCTGAAATAAATACCATTGTCAGTTTTTACACTGGAAAATAAAGAGATAAATTCTGTGGTAAGTTACTTGTGAAATACCTGTTTTGGAGACAGGAAAGTAATCTGAGCAGTCAAGTTTGACAAGTAGCCAGAAATGGCTCCCAGAAATTCAACTGCTTTACAAAGGTATGAAACTCTCTACTAATGAGTTCAAATTAATGATTTCCTAAAAAAAGCTACATTATGCAGGAAGAATCTCGCTCCTATTCCCTCTCCACACGTCATCCATTAGATTCACCACCATTCTCATAACCTTGTGTCCAAACTGTAGTCCTTCTAATGTTTTACTGCACTGATAAAAGCTGACGAGAAATCCATTCTCTCAGGTACTGTCCTTTAGAGCCACCCCTCACCCCCAAACAAAAATTCACCCGGCTTTCAATTTGCACAGTATTTGGAACCATTTGCAATGGCTCAGATACAAATTCAAATTCAATCAATGCTCAAATGCAAAGAAGACTAGGACCATAGATAGTAGGAACTGCAGATGCTTTTCTGATGAAGGGTCTAGGCCCGAAACGTCAGCCTCTCTGCTCAGCCTGCTGTGTTCATCCAGCCCTGCACCTTGTTGTCTAAGACTAGGACCATATTCAGGTTTTGGCTGACAAGGGGCAAATAACGTTGCCTGATACATGTGTGGTGCCAATGACTATCTCCAATAAGATTGGATTTAACTAGCCTTGATTTTCAGTGGCATTACTATCGCTGAATCCCCACTATCAACACCTTAGGGGTTACCATTGACCAGAAACTAAACAGTGCTGATAATACAAATACTGTCACTTCAAGAGCTGGTCAGAGACTTGGAATCCTGCAGAGATTAACTCACCTAACTCAAATTCTGTCCATCAATTGCAAAGTATGTCAAGAGTGTGATGCCATTCCCACCTGCCTGGATGACTGCAGCTCTAAAAACAGTCAAGAGGCTTGACACCATCTATGTAAAAGCAATATGATGCTCCATGACCAGATTTCATAAAGTTACAAAATGTCAAAAAATTTGAAACGTTGACTTATACCAACAACACATGGAAAGTCAAACCATGCAGTTTCGCCTAGTATGAGCAGTGTTACTGCAGTCCTGTGAATAAATTAACAGGCAATGATCAAGACAAGTATACCAGCAAAAGCTTATTCCACAAAATTGGAGGGAAGGGTAATCAAATAAACAAAACCTACTGGTGATAAGAAAAAAGACAGGCAAACAAAACTGGTAATAACGTACCAGTCACTGAGAAGGAGTTAGGGTCATTTATTGCAGTAGAAAGTGGATAGCTGATTGAGAGAGATTCAGAGAGTTGTGAAAGAATAGATGGACAGCAATTTGAGAGACAACTCCCAGATGCTCAAGGACTTAAGAGGAATGAGAAGTTGGAGATCATCTAGTACATTAATAGGATACACTGTGGAATCTTACTTTTTTGTTTTGCTAATTGCAAGTCTTGTACAGTTTGGTGGAGGGATGACTACGAGCCTGAGTGAGTTTTTTCATCATATCCTACTAAGTTCGCCATTTTAATTGGCAAAAATTACACCATATTTCCATTCCATCTTACATGCTTCTCCCAGAGCAACTCACTGCAGATCCTGGAATGGACTCTCATTCCTTGCAGCAGCACTATATTTAAAAGGCTATTATGTACCTGGACTGCAGTCTGGAGCTACCTGCATGGTTCCATGCCCAGGACTTGACAGACAGTGAAATCCTTGCCCCAGATATTCTGCTGGACAGGATGGTGCACAGGCAGATCATCCTCTTAGCCAAGAGCAGCAGTAAGACACAACAGACTATGCCAACCCAATCAGAAATCACCACTTTTGAACCAATCTCAGCCTTCTTGAGCAATATCCAGTACTGTAGGAAGGTTAATGATCAAATAGCACTCACCTCCCACAAAGGCTCATGCTCTAACACTCTCACTAATGCATGTAACATCTTCCTTACTTACCCAACCCAAATTGTGACACTGCTAACCTTGCACACTCTGCACTGCCTACTCACTTGATCAGGAAACCATCTCCTTCTGCACGAATAGCTAGGCAACTATCATCTTCCATAATAGCAGAACGTGTCTCATTCTAGGAGCAAAGCAACCCACAAAAGGGCAGAAAGAATCAAGATCGGTGTAATGCAGCCCATCATGTGATTTGTCATTCCATACGAGCAGAATTCCTGACTCTGCCTGCCCCAGGCAGCGCCTTGACTGATTTCAGACGCAGACTGCGTTTGATTGTACTTTCCTAAACCAAGTCTATCCCTTTGACCAGTCTGCTGCAAACAGTAGTAATGTTCCTGGCTTTGTGTCTGGGTTAAAAGGCACACAATACAGTAGTAATGAAAGTCAGGTATCTTTGACCGAGAGGGCAAAGTGCAAAAAGGCAAAGAAAGATGCTGTGTGAACACTTCAACTGCAAATAAAGAGCCAAGAGATGCAACATGGCCTAGTCCATGAGCTGCATGAGTGTCCCTGAGCACAAAATATTCTTGCTGCAGCATTACATATAGCTGCCGGTGCTTCACCTCTGGCTGCACTGGAGAGCAAAAATGCTATAAGTGAATCAGAGGTGTGCCTTGAGGGTTCATAGAAGCTGGCTTGTTTCAGATACCAATGTCTGTGGACATGGGTGCATGTGGCCCATACAGCATGCCTACAACGTTGGTGCCTAGTTTCCAACAAGGCGGTCTTTTGCAGCAAATGGTAAGTTGTACATGTCAAGAATCTGCTCTGATTTCTGTGTGGTGTTGACCCAACAGCTAGTTTGTATCACAAATGTGGTGAGATCCAATCTACGGCAAGTTGGACTGTTAATAAAGGGCATCAATTGGGAACTCGCAGCTCCTTGTGAGAATCTAGCAGCACTATTCGCGCAAAGCAGGGTAGCTGCAGAGAGATAATCAATGTCAAAATGACCGTCTTGCCTGATTCTACAACTCTTCTCACCATAAGCTACATAACAGCCTGATAAAGCTTGAGTAGAATTGTGATTTCTATGGAATGGATGATATCAACAGTTTTTAAATTCTGTCATTTTCATTTAATTACATTTACTACAATAGTTCCAGTCATTTGAATTATTTCCTGTTGCTTTACAACTATAAAAATGTGCACTGGTTCCAACAATACTTGATAACTGATTTATTAGCTCACAAAAATCATTCCACAGATGGGTATATATCATAGCATTTTTACTTTGCTTAGTTGCTTGGTTTACTGTAGGAACAGCCTGAATCCAGAACTGAAACACTGCTGAGAGAATTTTGAAACAAAAACACAATGTAATACATCCCATCACTGTGCCCCGAGCTTCTGGGAAGACTGCAAGTACAATATTCAGCCAGACCTCTAAATTTGGTAACTATCGATTACTTTGGAGCATTTGGGTAACTGCTCTGTATGGGCAAAACATTTAAAAACACAAGATGCTATAATGAAGCAGCCAATCATACTTACGGATGAGAGAAAATTGGAAGCAATGGTGGTCACAGATACCCGTGCTGAAGAAGAATATCGTAGTGCTTTGGCAAAAAGTGTCCACATCAAAGCATTAAACAGGAATGCCATTCCACCACAGCCTACTTGAAGCAACATATGCAACTGCAATAGAGTAAAACCTGAGGTCGGTCAGAAACTAGAGCACATCATTCACTAAACATCAGAGTTGACATTCAGAAATAAAACCATGGCAACCTAGCAGCGAGGCACAGATTATACTGTTATTATCTAAATATTGGCATATATGCAAGGCAATTGTAATAATGTACTTTCAAGAAGAAATTCCAAGAATTTCACTTTCACAGTATATCTATGAAAATCCAAATGGAGACTTCCCAATCCTTTAAGCAACTGAATAACGCTCAAGCATTACTGAATGAAAGTGGACTGTGTAGGTTTTGCTCAAAAATAAATGTAATGTCACACTTGACAGCCTGTACATTTTCTTCACGGTATGGAATTTACAAATTGTGTACACATCCAGTAGTAGGTGAAGTCAACAGCAAACACTGCCTTGGCAAACACATCCAAAATTCAATCCCAACACAACCGGATAACCACACTCCAAAATTTCTAGGAAGTAGTTTTTGGGGCAATAACCATTATTGATTCTGCTTAGTCTATGTGAACAATGACACTTAACTGAGACCCAACCAGGGAATTCCCTAGTGAAGTATCAGAGGAAGGAAGGGCTATTTTAGAATTATGGCAGAGTACAAAAACACAGGTCAAAGTATATAGTGTTAGTCTTCCCAATGCTGAACGGCAGGAAATTGTAACAACCATAATCACTTTCAGATTACATGGTTGGTCATCTAAACCCAAGCCTCTACTGTTTGGAGTTCAGAGAGACTAAAAAGTATGTCCCAGTACTGGGCAGTACATGTATCAAATCAAACCATTAACTTCATACGACATTATCACAGGGCTCTGATGAAGTCATCTCGACTCAAAACGTTGGCTCTGTCTCCACAGATGCTGCCTGACCTGCTGCAATTATCAGCATATTTTGTTTTCATCACCACAGGGCAACTGTTGATGAAGTAGTGGGATTAAAATTGCTCAACGAGCAGGGCTGCATTCCTGACCAGCTTATAGGGAGGCACCTTCACGGCTCACCATCACAACTCTGTCCATCATCCCCAGACCACTTCTCCCATTTGCTCCTCCTTCCTCCATACCCATCCCCTACACTTGTGTCCTCCCAATAACTCAGCTAATGCCTCCGTCCCACTGCTGCCCTACATACCCAACACCGTGTACACTCAGTCCCTCCCCAATGCCCCCAGATTTAACCTTTCCCCTCCTTCTCCAGTTACATTTCAAATGCAACTTATTATTATTATTATTATTATTTATCTACAGTGCCCAAGACCGGTATATTCTTCCCTTTCATTTAGCCCTCTTCCTCCCCTCCATGGCGCGCCTCCCCATCGCCAACGCCCCCACTACCCTCCGCCCTGTCAGTTACTCACCCATTCGGCCTTCCCCTGGTCCACCAGTCCCAGGTCATTGCCGGCTCCGAGGGAGAGTTTGGCCGCGGTGGAAGCCAGAGCCCCGAGGGAACCGGCCGCCAAGGCCAACGCCAGAGCGGGGCCGGTAACCGACCCCGAACCGTCGACAGCGGGCATCGCCCAGATTCAAAATTTAAATTCCAACCGTGTCTCCAACCGCCCGCTAGCGTCACTTCCTGCAGGCGCGCGGGCTGCCGATGCTGGATCAGTATCATAGACGAGATATTTAATAGCTTAGACAACAAGGT